ATTGAATTACCACGCGTCGAATTGCCACGCGTCGAATCACCACGCGTCGAATTACCACGCGTCGAATTACCACGTATCGAATTACAAGGCGTCGAAATACCACGCATTGAATTACCACGCGTTGAATCACCACGCGTAGAATTACTACGCGTCGAATTACCACGCGTCGAATTACCACACGTGGAATTACCACGTATCGAATTACAACGCGTCGAATTACCGCGCGTCGAATTGCCACGCGTCGAGTCACCACGCGTGGAATTACTACGCGTCGAATTATCATGCGTCGAATTACCACGCGTCGAATTACCACGCGTCGAATCACCACGCGTAGAATTACTATGCGTCGAATTACCACGCGTCGAATTGCCACGCGTCGAGTCACCACGCGTGGAATTACTACGCGTCGAATTATCATGCGTCGAATTACCACGCGTCGAATTACCACGCGTCGAATTCCCACGCGTCGAATTACCACGCGTCAAATTACCACGTATCGAATACCCACGCACCGAATTACTACGCGTCGAATTACCACGTATCGAATTACAACGCGTCGAATTACCACGCGTCGAATTACCACGCGTAGAATTACTATGCGTCGAATTACCACGCGTCGAATTACCACGCGTAGAATTGCCATGCATTACCACATACTGAAAATCACCCCAATCTCTAAATTCAGACAAAAAAAATCTCTATAAGTTTGTAAAGAAAGCAACTATATACCTAGATCCATCACCAGTCCTGTTAGCACGTTTCTTCACAATATCAGCTGGAACAGCTTTCATGTCGTATGCCAGCCCTAGCCGGGCACAGAAATCAATGAACGCTGTAGTTAAATTGAGCTTGTAGTTCCCTAACTCGGCCGCTTTGTAATCCCATGGGAACACATGGTGATAATTGTGCCAACCCTCGCCAACCGCGCATATGGCTACACCGATGTTCTCCGTTGGTCCAATATTTCTGCAAATTTCATTTATTTGTTCATCCACTAATCCACTAATCTATTTACTCTATCATTCGTACGCGCTTATGAAAATAGAAAATTATTGCTCAAGTTTATTCGATACAAATTAATTGTTGCTACAATTACATATGAATTTGCAATTTTTTATTTTCAATTTTTACTACTATGTTTACTTTCTAATTTATCATGATCCAAGTTTAAATTTAGAATTTAGAATACGAATTTGCAATTTTTAATCTTTAATTGCTACTACTATGTTTACTTTCTAATTTATTATGATTCAAGTTTAAATTTAAAATTTAGAATACGAATTTGCAATTTTTAATCTTTAATTACTACTACTATGTTCACTTTCTAATTTATTATGATTCAAGTTTAAATTTAAAATTTAGAATACGAATTTGCAACTTTTAATCTTTAATTGCTACTACTATGTTCACTTTCTAATTTATCATGATTCAAGTTTAAGTTTGTGAATTCAATTGACTTAAATTATTAAACAAAATTTTTGTTGCAGTGTTGCTATTTAACAAAGCATCATACTGTTCTATCTAGGTAGAAAAGATCTAGTTACTAGAACCTAGGTAAGAAAGATCAAGTTATTTACTTGTCGTAAGGTTTCATGCCCCATATATGTGCAGCCGAGTTCACCAACCACGTGAAGTGCAAGTTCAATGTGTATCTCCACACTGTGCTGTACCACGCATTCAAAGGTTTCTCGTCCCAGAAATAGCAGGGTATCCACGTGGGCAGAACGAAGCAGAAGATCGGCATTAGTATAATGTACAATCTGCGAAAACGAGAAAAGAAAGTTGTATAATTATACGTTCACACTAGAGTTCTCATTTAGTTTAATATGAACAGACAATGACAATCTAATATTTACTGTGAGAGTCTTTTAACTATAGTACATAACTAGCAATACATATAATCAATTCAATTAACTTATATCGATTTCAGTAACTACTGTGGAATCTCATTATTTCCCTGCGTCAGGGGCTCCGCGTTGTATAACTACCCGTTAAGTCACCCGTCGTATTAAATTAATTATTCACTCGCTATATACATTCACTTATTGTACCTTTTTTGCCATAGAACGACAGGATCATTTATCACGTCGCTCATATCGACCGTGGCTCCCTTTCTGAACACATCCGGATGTTTTCGAACCAGAAGCCACCCCATGTGCGAGAAGAAGAATCCTCTCTGCGCGTTATGGGGATCTGCGTCGGTGTCAGTAAATTTATGATGTACCCGATGATCTCTTACCCACTCGTAAATATGATTCTGCACAAAAATAACGTTTCAAATATTTTCTAGAAAATCGTTGGGAAAATTTGTTGAATCAAGAAATGGAAATTTAATGACTCACTTGAAAAGCGATTGATTGACAGATCATCAGGAAAACACGCATTGGCCATTTTGCTTTATAGGATCGATGTGCCCATAGTCTGTGAGCGCCAGCTGTGATGCCCATTCCCGCCAGGAGCGTCACGAATACATCTGAAAATGAAAAATATATGAAATAAATAAAAGTGAAAAATTTATCCTCATTACATTTGTAACAATTATTGTATATAAATATGAGTTTTATAATGAACATTATGAACAGCTCGTGGAATTTCAGTGAGTTGAATTACAGCGCGTGGAATCATGGTGCGTGGGATTACGGCGCGTGGATTTACGGCACATGGAGTGGCGACGTGTAGAGGTACAGCGCGTGGAGTTTCGACGTGTGGAATTATAGAGCATGGAGTGGCGACGCGTGGAGTTAGGACGCGTGGAGATACAGTGCGTAGAATTGCGACGCGTGGAATTACGGTGCGTGGATTTGTGACGCGTGGAGTTGGGACGCGTGGAGATACAGTGCGTAGAGTTGCGACGCGTGGAATTACGGTGCGTGGATTT